CACACACTGCCAACACACATTTCAGTTCAAACAACTTGTAAAAGTGCATGTAGCATCCTATGACCCCTTTAAATGTGAGCAAAAATATTTTTGGCCCAATTTGAAATGTCTAATATATCTTATTATCTTTGTCAAACAGGAACGGCTACAAGTTTATGTATTGTTCAGCTCGGGCGATTGGCATGGCTGATATGACCCGGGGTTACTTGCACTGGGTTAATGAAAGAGGCACCATGCTACCCATGGGACCTGTGCTGCTTAGTCCCAGTAGTCTGTTCTCTGCATTTCACAGGTTGTAACACACACACAACATGTATAGGCTTTAAAAAATTGAGAGAATGCCATATTACATGTAACTGATGTCTTTTCTTTTCATTTCAGGGAGGTCATTGAGAAGAAGCCAGAAAAGTTTAAAATTGAATGTCTGACCGACATTAAAAACCTGTTCTATCCAAACACAGAACCCTTCTATGCTGCTTTTGGAAACAGAGCAACAGTAAGTACTAGTAGCAAGAACTGCTAACATTACCTTCAGCTGATATATGTACATTTCTAACGAATGTTCTTCTCTCAAGGATGTTTATTCATATAAAGAGGTTGGAGTGCCTTTGAACAGAATATTCACTGTGAATCCTAAGGGAGAGCTCATCCAAGAACATGCAAAGACCAACATATCATCGTAAGTGACTGCATAAGTTCTGGATCTAATGAAAACATGTCCGTCTCATTGTAAAAGAAAGAAAAAGATATTTTGCAATGAAACATTTCACAGGTTGTAAGACACACAAAACATGTATAGGCTTTAAAAAAAAAACTGTGAGAATGCCATATTGTAACTGATGTCTTTTCTTTTAATTTCAGGGAGGTCATTGAGAAGAAGCCAGAAAAGTTTAAAATTGAATGTCTGACCGACATTAAAAACCTGTTCTATCCAAACACAGAACCCTTCTATGCTGCTTTTGGAAACAGAGCAACAGTAAGTACTAGTAGCAAGAACTGCTAACATTACCTTCAGCTGATATATGTACATTTCTAACGAATGTTCTTCTCTCAAGGATGTTTATTCATATAAAGAGGTTGGAGTGCCTTTGAACAGAATATTCACTGTGAATCCTAAGGGAGAGCTCATCCAAGAACATGCAAAGACCAACATATCATCGTAAGTGAACGCAACTGTTCTGGATCTAATGAAAACATTTATTTTCTCATTGTAAGGAAAATCACTCAAAATTAAGAGAAAAAAAAGCAATAAAACCATGCTTGCTTTGGAATTATTTCGATTTTTTTTTTGTCATTTCCATTATTATCAATGATTCCTTTTAGACTCTAACAGTAGATCATTTTGTAGTGTCTAATAGTTTGGAATTTGTCAGTCTGACAGTAAATTCATCCATATATTCTTGTGTGTTTTACAGTTATGAACGTCTGTGTGAGGTCGTGGATCATGTCTTCCCTCTTCTGATAAGAGGGAACACCACCGACTTCCCTTGTTCAGACACCTTCAGCCAGTTCACCTTCTGGAGAGAGCAGTTACCAGAGGTAGACAAGCAGGATCAACATGCCGAGAGCAGCTGAAAGGACATACTGAAAAAAAAGAATAACATCCCCTACAAACTCAGCTCTAACACTGCACTGCCATAGGTATTCCTCTACGCACAAGCAACTTAGCACTTAGCAGACCGCATGCCGCCCTCTGCCTGTTCCTTCATTATTATTTTAAATTTTTAATACAAACATTTATCATTTCTGTGTGTGCTAATGTTTTGTTTTACTTGAAATAATCTGAAACTGGTAGGATATTACACCGCTCATATTAGGGGTTTTTTTTTGTTTATTGATGAGGTTACAGCTATTTTAAAGTGCCAAATGCATTATTCATAACCAACAAGGTAATTACATTAGGCTATTAAAAAATTGTCTATTGGCTTTGTCCAAGGTTGTAAAGATGTATGAGGGAATACAGTTATTTTAGTACATAGTATAAAATGTTTTTGAGCATTTGTCATAAAACATGCTGAGAGAAATGTAAAAGTTTCATCAAATTAAATAATAATAATAAATAAATTCAGCAGTAGGTATAAAGCCAGCTTTAGTATATCTCAGGTGATACAGAATTTACACAAGGTACTCTTTTAAAACTTAAAGTGACCTTTCATAAATTATTTTACTACTCCATTTCCTTAACAAAACAACAAATGCAAGTGGGTCGATCTTAATCGTGTCATCCTGGACAACTTTTTACCATATACACACTTTACGTTTTGCCAAATACTTATTATTATGTGATAACTTTGCATTCCTTATTATTTTTGTGTATAAAGTTCACAACTCTGACCAGCAAATATGAATCATGCAGAAACACGTCATACGTCATAACCGTTAGCATGTTAAAGAAAAACAAATGAAACAAAAGCAAACAACAATGCAAAGAACACTCAGGTCATGAAGTATTTCCTACTTGTATTAATTCCTTCATATTAATGACATATTTATTACATTTTAATAAAATATATATATATATATATATATATATAAACACACCCGAGAAAAAATTTGTCAAGTGATTTTTTTTTTTTTTTTTTTTTTAATAATTAAGAATATAAAATCTCCTGATTCATGGTGCATCCTATTATGTAATTTATTTATTTTTTTTATAATCTTCATATTCTACCACCACTAACACCTCTACCCAATTGTGTATTGTTTGTCTTATTAAAGGATGAAATGGACTGTCTCATGAAAGCACTGTATAATGAAATATGTCTAAATTAATAAGGTTTTTGTGTGATACATAAGTGGACAAGCTCTTGTGTATTCTTAAGTCTGTGGTTTTCCATGGTTATCAAGAAGCACATTAAATAAGCACTGATGTGATGCATGAATGATGAAGGGGCTTTAGGGATTGATTTAAAAGAACTGTGTATTTTAATGTTAACCATAGTATTATTATTCTGCAAAGAAAAAAAAAAAAGAGTATATGAAATGTGTGTGCAACGTGAAAATGCAATTTGTACTGATCTCTAATTGGTTCAGTTCGTAATACAAAATTATTATAATGACAGATGACTGCTACAAACTTCAACACTGTGAATGATCAGGTCAAACATTGTAGATTGTTTCTGCTCTTTCTACCTGTCTTACACCTTCAGTTCATTGAGATTTCTTATTCTAAACAAAAAAAGCTGAATAATATAAGACTGTGTAACGTTTTCTGTTCATATGAATTGTAACACCAATAACATTCAGTTGCAATAGCTTTTGTTCTGTTTGCAGTCCCTATGGAGTTTTATATTCTTTCTGCGAAAGATCTTGTTGCCTAAGTTTGTGGCAGTTGAGTTTGTGTGTCATTATGTTCAGTGTTGAGATGTAAAAACTTTGGTTGCGTGTATATTTTAAGATGCCAAATCTCAATATGTAAATTAAAATCCCATAACATGAATCCAAAAACATGCTTCCTTGTTTGTCTGAGCTGTACTGAAACAACCTACCTTGGTGTTCCTGTAGCTAAGCAGATTGAGTACAGTTCATAGTTTCTCATCAATGATACTACAATCACACTGAATAGCTTCTTCTCCTCTTCTGGTCTATGTTGAGTTCATTTTTTTCCTTTTCACGTAGATACTCAGATAAGATACTCTTCCTTCACCTCTTCCTCCACTCCTTACTGCTCTTGCTCATCCTCTTCCTCCTCCTCTCTGGTGTCCTCGACCTTTTCAATCACATCTCTCTGGATCCATTGTTCCAAAACTGAATGAACTGACTTGGGCTCTTTTATCTATCTATTGAAGGTTCTGATTGGTGTGTGATAGGAATAGTGTTTATAGTTTAGGGAAATGGGTGTGCTTTTTGATAAATGGCGTTATGGTTTTGAAATTGTAGTTCAAAAGCCTAGTGATAGTGTTTAAGCAATCGAGAAAAACTGTAATGATATTCTAATGGGCCGCTTTGTGATATCACAAAACCCGGAAAACAAATGCTGTAGTCCAAACCAACCATTCGCTGTAGTTCTTGAAAAGGGATTTTTTAAAAACGAAATATCTCCCTTTGGAGTGGACTTTGAGATTTGTAAGTTTGAAGATCTTTTTTATGCCCAAGCCTACACACTGACTAAAATTCAAAAAGTGAAAAAGCATAATAGGACCCCTTTAAAGTTAATAAAGTGTTTTCTTTTGTAGTGAAGACAATCACCCAGTATACTTTATAGCATTTTACATTTATTTGCATCTGAAACCTGATTTTGTTGCATATTTGTGCTTAGAGGTCTTTCTGACAATATAATATTAGACCTTTTTTCAAAACTAATACTTGGCTAAAATGAAGAACGAAAACTGACGAGAGAGAAAGAAAACGAAAAAAGTGTTTAAGTAAAATTTTCAGAACAAAAACATTTTAAAAATACTCAAACTTTATTACATTTATATTTAAAACGAAAACAAATAAAACCTAAGAGACAAACTCAGCAACTCAGTCTCTTGGGTAAACGTTCATACTACAACTCTGCAAAAATATACAATATTAAGACCTTATTATCTGAATGCTTTATGGCAATCCAGATATAGTAGGCAGCGTAAAATGTGCAGATAGTCCAAGACGCATAAATTAACATACATAAAACTCAGTCAAGCACACAAAATCAACAGAGATTAGACCTTTAACCAATCATCCCTGGTTAATCACCTCATTCGTACCTTCATACATAAAAACTAGTAAGCTCTGCAGAAAAGTTCCTTCCATGTTACACAGGCTAATAAGCGGTTATAAAATTTTATAGAGGATCAACTGGCTGGTGCAAATTAATTCTATCATGGTGAAGTTAAATGGATGAACTGGCAGGTAAGGCAGACGGATAATGAATTAAAAAACAACACCACAAGGTTTAGTGTTGCTGATGAGAATATTCAAGTTAAAAAAAAGTTCTCATCAACTTCAGATCTAGGCAAGTTATGATTATAACAAATCTAGCTTTCAGTACAGCAATAAAGACAGTATATTTGAAGCAAAATATAGGTCCTGAGATATCTCAACATCCAGTGGTAAATTATTTAGGCAATAAAAAAAAAAAATCCCAAATTCCCCCTTTTCATTCCTATGTCACTTGGTCAAAAATCAAAACTTGGCAAAGGTGTGAACTTAACTCGTCTTCCTTATGGTCACACATTCATTACTACGCTCCACAGTAGTTGAGAACATTTTAAGGCAAAGGTCAGTCTTGAAAATCTTGAGAAGCTAGTGGTGAGAAGCTGTGCTTGATGTTTAGTTTTGAAGGGACATCCTCTCTCCTCTTCATTTGGGGGCTTTGTGGTCAAACAGCTGCAGGTCGAGCCGAACCCAAACCTCTCCAGTGGGAACTTCATGAAGCAGCAGCCTCCTAGTGGATGGACCTTTATTCTCAAGCTCTTTCTTAATAGTGGCTACAGGAACCTCAGTGCGACCTAAAAAGTCTATAAAGTGAGAAAGACAAATGGGAATGTGTAATTATACATACTAAAATTTAAAGAGTTTAAGATTAATTCAATTATATAATTTAGAAATAGTATTATACTCGCTAGTTTTCATACTCACCATCTGGTGAAAATTGCTCCCGCTCAAAAATCGTAATACAGAGGACATCTTGATACAGGTCTTTAATGTGAAACTGACAATTGAAGCTCCACTTGGGGTTGACAGTGTCATTGATGGTTCGGGAAGTGTAGCACTGAGAACCCATGGTCACTTCACAGTATGGATTACTCTTTCCTAAAAAACATTGCACAAGTATTAACTAATGTTCTTGGAAGATAGTTTTTTATTTATTTCTTTATTTATATTCACCATTATTATTTGTTTAATAAAACCACTCACCATTTGGTTTGGAGGATTTTAGCTCTGTTGCCTCCAAGATGGTAACAAGCAAGCGACCAATTCCACTTGCTTTCATTGATCGAGCTGTAAAAAAGTATTGTAATAATGATTTACATTTATTTAAAGACCATGACGTACAGTGCCAATCAAAAGTTTGAGGTCAGTAAGAATTTGTAATGTTTCGAAAGAAGTCTCTTATTCTAATCAAGGCTGCATTTATTTGATAAAAAATGCAGTAAAACTGTAATATTGTGAATTATTATTATAATTTAAAATAACTGCTTTGTATTTTAATACGTTTTAAAATGTAATTTATTCCTGTGATGGCAAAGCTGAATTTTCAGCAGCCTTTACTCCAGTCTTCAGTGTCACATGATCCTTCAGAAATCATTCCAATATGCTGATTTAGTGCTCAAGAAACATTTCTTATGATTATCAATGTACAAAACAAATGTGTTGCTTAATATTTTTGTGAAAATTCTGTGACATTTTTTCAGGATTCCTTGATGAAAGTTCAAAATAAAAGCATTTATTTAAACAAAGGCATTTCATTCTTTAATGTAACTTTTGATCAGTTTACTGCACTCATATTCAGTGGTCCATATAAATAAATAAATAAAGTAAAACTTACATTGATAGGCCTTTTCCCGTTTCTTCTTCTCCGTCTCAATGAATGCTTCTGATGCTGCTTTGATCTTCTGAACCCATGCAGGCCTAACAAGTTATCAGAGAGATTAAACATTTTCAATTGTCACAATTTAAGAAAAAGAAAAAAAAACCACATATACACACACATATATATATATATACACACACACACACATATATATATACAATATATATACAGGGTTCCCACTCTTTCATGAACACCAGATTCAAGGACTTTCAAGGACTTTTTAAAGCACCATTTATTTTATATCAAGCACCTATCAAGTTCACACCCCAGCATATGTAGTGTCATGAAAGACCTTACATTACTTAACATTTCACTTACACTTAACATTTACATAAACAATTTCAGAGTAATAATGTTTTGAATGTGTAGGTTTCATAAATTTAGACCGTTTTGAGCAGTCGTGTTCAAAGGAATTTAATGAAATCCATTGAAGTCAGTACTGGTAATATTCAAATTAAATTTCTAAAATATTGATAAAATATGCATCAAACTGATTTTTGCTGTAGTTCTTGTACAAGATTTAAATTTGAAAGAATTTCTCAATTTTTAAATGAATAAAAAATGGTTAAATGTTGTAATAACTTGGTAAAACCTGTTAACATTATATAAGGAGAGAGAGAGAGAGAGAGAGATTCCTTGAAGCATAAAGTAACTGTTTTCCCTAAAACATGCAAATAAAAGGCAAAGGCAAATATATTTAATTTATTAGATTAATCTGCATTAAAATTCTGTCAATTCCACTTGCGCTGGCATTTCAGCAGCATGAAAAGCAGTTGTTTTTTCTCTTCTCATACAGTGTGGCGATAACAACATTCCTTTAACGGTTCATAAAATGTCCCATGAGTCCAGTAAATAGTGGCTTGCTGATAAGACCGATAAAGAGAGCGATCGCTGAAACTGACCTCTCGTTAATGTTCTCAGTCTTCAGTGTGTACACACGATCTATGTGGGAAATGTGGAAGACGGGCTCATCGCTGGATGGATCTGACGGAAGCTTCACCAGAACTTCATTGAGGAACACAGGCTGGGAACACAAACATACACATTACACAATATCCCAGTGTTTTTTTTGTTTTGTTTTTTTGCTCAAAGGTTTAACCAAAAAAAGAACACTGTTCTACGAAGAGGAGTGGAACCCTACCTGCTTATACATCTTGTACTGGGTGTTAGACTTGGGGCTAAAGAGCTTGTCCATTCCTGAGGAAGTGAACTGCCTGACAGCTTGAGTGAACAGCAGAAAGTCATTGAACAGAAAGGCATATAACTCCTTATTGCTCTTGGTCTTAAACACCTTCCCGCTGTGCAGCAATTTACGGGGACCCAAGCAGTTGGTCAGAGAGTTGAAAGTCAGATTCTAGACAAGTAACACAATAGAAGAGTAAGAAATCTATTATACAGCGTTATTTGAAAGTTTAAGCCAAAGTCTTTCAGCCAATCATCCCTCACATTTTACAGTACCATTCAAAAGTTCAGTCAGTAAGGTGAGATTTTTTTTTAAAGAAATTAACACTTTTATTGAACAAGGATGCATTAAACTGATCAAAAGGGAGAGTTTACAATGTTACAAAAGATTTTCAAATAAATGCTGCTATTCAAAGAATCATGAATAAACATCACTGTTTCCACACAAATGTTAAGCGCCCCATTGTTTTCAACATTGTCAATAAAAATAAATGTTTCTTGAGCTGCAAATCAGCATATTAGAATGATTTCTGAAGGATCATGTGACACTGAAGACTGGAGTAATGGCTGCTGAAAATTCAGCTTTGCCATCACAGGGATAAATTAAATTTTAAAATATATTAAACAGAAAATAATTATTTTAAATTGTAATAATATTTCACAGTATAACTCTTTTTACTTAATTTTGAATTAAATAAATGCAGCATTGGTGAGCATAAGACACTTTTTCAAAAGCATCAAAAAATCTTACAGACTTTTGAATGGTAATGTACATCCAGACGATAGCTTATGACTGATCTTGTAATGCATGTTTTGAGCATCAATTATTTATTTTATCAGAATAAAGACGGTATATTTATGGTATATGGATGGTGATTTCTTACCTCTGTGATGCCTTCACACTGCACATGGGATTGGATCCACTCCAGCCTCTCAGAGTTCTCCTTCTCCCTGACACCTTCGTTCACCTGAGAGCACAGCAGCTCTGCCTTCTCCAAAGCGTCTAGCAGCTGAACATAGTCCACGTGACTCTCTGGAGTACTTTCCAGGATCTGGACACACAAATACACACACGTATCGGTTAACAATGCGCTAATCATTTGCATTAACTATCAAAATCTAATATAAAAGATATATAAAAATAAAACATAAAATAAGTTAATTTACTCACATTTTTAATATGGAGAGGGTAGCGAGTGATCCTTTGCATAGGTTTGAGTAAAAAGCTGGACAAAGGCATTCCTTTACAACGGTAGTCTGTGGCAATTTTCTAAAGAAAAAAAAAATGTTGATATTAACATTGCTACCAAGAAAAAAAATGTAACCAAAAACTCACACTGATGATGGAAAATCTAAATTAAGTCATAAAAGTATTTTATTAATTATCTATAAGTATAATATTATTTTATCACACGATTTTACATTATACTATATTATTACAGTACTTGGGATATATGCACTTTTAAAAATATATATGCTATATTGAAGGACCATGAACTACAAAAAAAGCTTAATATTTGTAGCGAATCAGCTTATGGGGAAATATGAATAATTAATCATAACTAGTTATAATTAATTATAAATATTTAGATCCGCTGTAGATACAGTCTTTTTCCTTGTCTTCAGAGCCCTGACAATACACACATCATGCATGATATACTGCACACTAGTAAAAGACAAAAATATTTCCAAGTTAACCTCACATACTTGAGCATTTTGGAGTTGCACTGGATAAGCTCCTTCCAGTTGACAAATATCATGCTCATTTCAGCCTCAGTAAGACGACCTGATTCAGACATGGGCTTGTGGAAGACCTTAAGAGAGGTAACAAGAAAAATATAATTGTATCTTCAGAAAAAATAAATAAACAAATTATATATATATATTAAATTAAATATGATACAGATTAATTTACGAAAAGCACTATGAGCTTCCAAATATACGGTTTTGCAAAGTAATTAAAGTATTTTATTAATTCTATACAAGTATTATATTATTTTACTATATTATTATTACACTACTTGGGATATTTGTACTTTCAAAAATTCATGTCATACTGAATACTGCAAAAAAGCTTAATATCATTTATATTTATGTAATTAAATACAATCGTGAGTCAACTGAAAATATAAACTTTCATTTAATAACATACTAAATAAATTATATAAAATAAAATGAATGTCAAATTTAGCTTTGCATTATTTTGGATTACTCATCTTGGTATTGTGGTACCACTAAAACGGTTGGCACCTTTACTGTAAATTGCTTGTGATTTTCACATTGCTAAGTTGATTTGGATAAAACGGTTTGCTAAATAAATAAATGAATGTGAATTAGGTGATCTGTGACTGTGTACCTCTAGAACCAGCTGTAGATCTTCAATGTATTTCTCCTCGGTCTCAATGAGCTCATGGATGTATCCTTGCCGTTTCCTCTCCTGCGGGCTCATTGAATCCAGAGTGCTCAGGTCAGTGCACCCTACAAGAAAATGGTACAGGTGAACTCAGCCAGACGCTTGAAGCCCATATAAGCAACAAAACACACACACACACACATTGATGGCTCCTTGGGATCCTTCAACAACCTTAGTCCTAACACACTGAAGCACACTCAAAAGCAATGTGTTGATGACACTTCAAACCGCTCCAGCGTGAATCCTTACCTGCTGATGGTCTGTCCGTTTGACCATCCGGGCTGCCTTTAGTGGTGCCTTCATCGTCCACATCCCATAGCCATAAAAACAGCAGTTTACCCCCTGAATAATCACTCATTTTTATGAGCTGTGCTTTGTAAACCGGCTCATTTACTGTGATGAACACGGCAAGCATGCAGGATTATTCATTCTGTTTTTACCCATAATACAACTGCAGGACAAACATAACTAGATGGCAGTGAAGATTAGCTAGAGGAATACTGTCAGAAAGTCACCGGAAGTTCATGAAAGGTGGTCCAATATATGAGACACTATTAACTAAATATCTAAATATTAATAACGATCAAACAATTAGATCATTACATCATTAAATTGTTATTTGTACTGTAGATGATAAAAAATGTAATATTTATGGGCTTTTTGTTTCGTTTTTTAAAAATGCATATCTGAAAGCGTGTTTTTTTTTTTTGGCACTGAACTCTTATGTTACAAAAATGAAAAAGGAACGACGTTCGTTTTTTTCAAAAGACTTTAATCTCTAGATTTCTTCAAATCAAATAAGTACAAGATCCAAGTATTTGAGATATTTTATAAGGATTACTAACAACATCCAATAAAATGATATTAAGGCAAACATTCGTCCACAAGTTCACAACTATTTGCATAGTTTCCTCATATAACACTAACAAATCTGTTTATACAGAAGCGAGTCATGCACAAACATTGCATAAAGCGCAGTAAATATGTAACAATACCACCCAAGGCCAAAGCATTGTGCTTAAAACAGCATCAGCAGAACTATATTTCCAAATACAGCACAGACAATAATACAAGTTGTCTTTCGTTTTAGTTCTTACATTGATTTCAAACTGAAACTACTGAACAAACTGATGGAACTGACTGAATAAATGGAAGCAAAAGAGTGAAAAGCATCTAAAGATTCAAGGTGAAACTGCCTAAAAAAAGTGGCAGTTGTTTGTTCTTTAAAAAGTCAAAGTGCCTTCAATAACCAGAGACTAATAATACGAAGTTTAAAGTTGAATTATAGCCAGCGTATTTATGTAAAGTGTATAATTACTGTGATTGCGATGACATACTGAGGCAGTTTCACACTTTGTAACATCCCTTAAAATGTAACATCTCTGAAAATGACCAAACTGAGGAGCAACAGCTTTACTGTGAAGTCTTACCATCTCAAAATGACCATATAAAAGAAGCTGCCACCTTTAAAGGAACTTCAAGCAAACAAAAATGTAAGAGAATTCAAAAAAGGAAAACCATAGAAAGATTCCCTAAGCCGTACTAATCAGTTAAGATGGGTCCAGACTACCAGTCAACTGAATTAAAAGCCTTGTTTAAGTTTAAAAGAAATGAGACTGGTGAGGAAAGATGCAGGAGGGTGATTGGGTGAGTAAATGGTGGTTTCAGCACGACCACCTCCACTGTGAGAGGGGGATAGTGGGTCTCTTATGGATGAAGGAAAGGAAAGGTGTTACCACCCTACAGAGAAGGACACAAATGAGAAGAACAAAGTCGAAGGGGAAAAAATTGTGTGAGAAATAAACGTGTGGCTAAATATGGAGGAGGAGAACAAAAGTCTAACATTAGATTAGATACTACACATACAACTGTACAAGATTGGAAATACCCTTTCCATTATAACGGCAAAAATAAAACGAACCAAAAAAGGCACCATGAAATAACACTAAATATTGATCATATTTAAAGCAGGATAAAATGTCATTATAATAATGTAATGAAATTGTAATACACTCAGTCATAAATACAAATCATTTCAAATAATAAACACCCACATTCAAGGAGCATAGACTGCAACAATTTTTTCTTTAAATAATCTGAAACCAATTTAACTTTGAAAATAAGTTAGACTCTTAAAGCAAATTTTATAGTTGTAAACACAAACAAAAACCGGCATAATGATTAAAAAAAACACAGAACCAAAATAGACTGGTCTGTTTATGGGTCTCTACTTACACTGCTGACTGGGGTCAGAATCAGAGGTGGTCATTTTCACATAGTTGGTAGGAATCAAGCCCGTGACCCCATTGAGCTCTCCTTTCCACCAGTCAGGATCACTTTTGTCCAGCACGTTGATAACTTGACTCTTTGAGAAGCTCAGCTCGTCCTCATTCGCTCCAGTGTAGTCGTATATGGCGATGACTTGGCCGACTAGAGTGAGGAAAGACAGGGAGAACGATGAGGAGAGATTAAAAAAACAAATCATCAACCCTGGAAACTTGTGCTGTTTCTTACCAGCCGCAGATGCAGGTGTAGATTTGCCGCTGTTTGAGCCCAGAAGCTTGACGTGTGAAGCAGGAAACCAGCCCTTCTGACGCTTCTTCCCCCTGGCCTGAGAACACAAACAAAAAGCTATACAGCTATTTTGAATTTTTTGTTTTTGTTTATCTATCCATCCATCCATCCATCTGTGAAATTAGTTTAATATTATTTTGTTTGTGGAAGTATATAAAATACATGTTACAGGTGGAGATATCCATCATTTAAAATGATAAAAATACACTTAATACACATTAGGGATGCAGCAGTATTAATATTCTGAGCGATACCTACAGGATGATAATTATTTTCATGTTAAGGACAATATAAAAATTCTATACAATTTTGTCTAAAAAATGAATAAAGATACAGTGGGTACGGAAAGTATTCAGACCCCCTTCAATTTTTCACTCTTTGTTATATTGCAGCCATTTGCTAAAATCATTTAAGTTAATTTTTTTTCCTCATTAATGTATTTGACAACGATTCTGTGTTTTTCTGTCAATATGGGGTGCTGTGTGTACATTAATGAGGAAAAAAAATTAACTTAAATGATTTTAGCAAATGGCTGCAATATAACAAAGAGTGAAAAATTGAAGGGGGTCTGAATACTTTCCGTACCCACTGTATATACACACATTTTTATCATAATTTTTGAATTTTTATAATTATATTATGCTGTAAAAATATACTGTATTAAGTATATTTTTATACACAAATTTTTATCAATCTTTTAATTTTTAATTTACTTTGACAAAACAGTGTATAATTTTGGTTAACTATTGATTACCGGCCATAACATAAAAATAATAATTATCATCAATTATTGTGTGTATAATTCCAGATATACCTATTGACAGTAAATTAAAAATCAGCTAATAACTGATATACACCAATATATCATAACCAATATATCCATATTGTAAATAATATGGGCCATATGATGGAATACATGGAAAAAGTCTGTAAAACTACTCAAACTGTATTTTTTTAGAAAAAAAAAGAACATTATTTTGTGTATTTGGTGTAATGAAATGTGTTTATGCGGTTTAAAGTAAAAAAAACACATTATTTTCCACATACTGTACATTATTGTTTCTCCTCTATGCCCCGCCTTTTTGAAACGCGTCGATTTTTACAAAGCTCATCGGTCTGAAAAAGCGAGGTGTGCTGTGATTGGCCAGCTATCCAATGCGTTGTGATTGGCCGAATACCTCAAGCGTGAGACGGAAATGTTACGCCCCTCACATACTGTTGATGCCGTGTCCCGGCCGGAGCGACGAGACAAAAACATTAAAACCCATTACAAACGAGGCATTTGTTGCATCCAGTGGGGACATAATTACTGATTATAATGACTTATACTGTCTTTTTACGCGTTGCGTTGCATTGCATCGCGTAAACATAAAACTCTGTCTGCATTTGTGATCAGAGAAATGACAAACAACAAGTGCTACTCTACTGCCCAAAACTCGCGTTTGAATCATCAGTGGCAAATCCTTTAAATGAAAACGTACTTACGTGAGTCAGAACTGCCGGCATTTTAGTCTAACGTTACTCTCCCAGGATCAGTAAACAGTCCTCCATAAAATGTGCTGCACACATCTGGATATTTGGGTTGAACTGTTCTGGAACAGTGTTGTAAATACAACTTAACCACTGATTTGTAGTCAAGTACTCTTTTGGAAGATCAAACAAAGTAGTTTCGCTTTCACAACGAAATGTCTTCACGACATGGCTGCAGCGTCAACAATACTACAGCGACAATAAAAGTTACGCCTTCTTTCTTTGCGTGAACATTTGGGCGGCGTTATGCAAATCTTCCCACATAGTGAGGTAGATATGTGGGGGCGTGTTAGAACGAGCCGTTTTAGGTAGGTGTGGCTGACTCTGAACTTTTATAAAGAATATCTCTTTGGATTTGAGACTTTAGTCTTTGCAACTTTACAGATCTTCTTTATGCACCAAGAGCTTGTAACACTCCAAAGAGAAAGGAAAAATTGAAATCGCATCATATGACCCCTTTAAGGTGTTTAAGCATAAACTGTTCACTCACCTGCAGTTCTCCGAGCCACCAGCCGGAGGGGTTCTTGGTGAGGATGAGGATGAGCTGTCCTGGGGCTAGATTCAACTGCTCTGCACCTGCAGCTGTGTGCGCAGTAGTCACCTGGGCCACTTCTGCAAACAAAATAACATGTTATAGGTTTAAATATCTATGATTAATTACAGTGATTTAATTTTGTCATATAACTTGAGGTTGTTACTTACCTGGTTTCTTTCCAGGTGTTCCAAGTTTACCAGAGAGACTTGACGTCTAATAAGGAAAAAAAAAAATTGTTGTTATCATAAAACAACAACATGTATGAATGCCAGTATCCTTAAATACAAAAATAAAATTACATCAGTCTCTTTTGGCTTGACGTAATTGGAGGGGAAGACTCCTGATCTGTCTCCGATGCTGCCTCTCCACCACTCCCCTTCTCTCTCTGATACCAGGATGGTGTCTCCCTCGGTGAAGGTCAGGTCTCCAGGCTCAGGGCTCTCGTAAGTGTACAGCGCCACATATTCCGATGACAGGATCAACATACAAACACGGTTCAGGGTAACTTGGAACACAAGGACAATACTGATGTCAAGAGATTAATCTATGATGTCTTCACAGGCATAACAGACACAAAATTTACTTGAAATGAATATATTGTATATACAGTGGGTACGGAAAGTATTCAGACCCCCTTCAATTTTTCACTCTTTGTTATAAAAAGTTTGGGTCACCCACAAGGACTGATTAATCACACTAAACAACTAATTATCAGAGAACTAATTACACTACTGTTCAAAAGTCTCAGGTCAGATTATAAATAATAATGAATGAATACTTTTACTCAGCAAGGATGCATTAAATTGATCACAAATGACGGTAATTTTTTATAACATTATAAATTCTTTACTATTTAAAAAAAATTATTTATTTTGAACTTTCTATTCTTCAAAAAAATCCCGAAAAAGGATTTCCCAAAAGTACAACTGATTTCAACACTGATAAGAAATGTTTCTTGAGCACCAAATCAGCATATTAAAATGAACAGAAAACAGTTATTTTAAATTGTAGTAATATTTTGAGATATTACTGTTTTTGATAAAATAAATGCAGTGGAGAGGATCTTACCAACTCCAAACTTTATATTAACTAATAATCGAGCAAAATGCAATAACAGTTGAGAGCGACCTCCATACTGTAAATTTTAGGGAGTAGGGATGTAACGATTAACTGCGAGCCGGTTGAAAATCGATTCAAATGTGTGACGATTCAAATCGGTTGAGATGCTAAAGTTTTTTGTTGAACAAGCAGTAAAGTATAACGCAGTTTTTTGGTCTGTGTGTTTATCAAGGAAATCACTGCTCCGAGTCTTTATTAAAACCAACAGGTTATGGGCCCAGAAGCAAAACGCTACAGTGAAGCTGCTGAACTGTATGGCAAAGAACCCACAATTTCATGGAGTGCCAAACACATTGACATAAAGTACCACTTCATTCGAGAGAAAATTGCAAGTGGAGTCATGGACATGAAATACTGCAAGACTGAAGACATGATTGCTGACATATTCACCAAAGGACTGAGTGGGAGGCACAAAACTACATGTTGAAGTTCCTGAATTAATAACCGCAAATGTCTTTTAATATGTTGTTCATTTGCAGTATAGCACCAAATATATCTTTTCTTGCTGTAAAAGGAAGCTGTTCTTAATCACAAACTGCTTTAGGGTCCTGGTGGAAAAACCAAATCTGTTTTTTCTTACCTTCATAGCTGGATCCTTCTGCTGTATCAGATCCTTCAGCGGAACTATGGGGGGAAAAATTAAACCTTAAACAAGCACCAAACAAGATGATTAAAGTGTTTCAGGACAAAGCTGTTCAATGCCAAATGAACAACAACCTCAAACACAGAAAGTAAAGCGACACAACATCAGAATTAGTCTCTGCAGGAACATATCTGCACCTCAGTACACCAGTAAGTTTTAGTATGCAAAGAATCACTTGGTTTAGTTTGAAAATACCATTTCACATTAACACTTTCACAGACAAAGTACATGTAACACTCACAGCTACACACTATCTATTTTGGTCACAACCACTTCAGCATTGTTATTATTGATATTAAAGCACTTCAGCACGGTGTGTGTATTTACTCTGCTTGTGCATCGCTGGCGCTCAGCACTGTAACATAGGTTTTGGGGAACCACCCCTGAACCCCACTGAGCTCTCCAAGCCACCAGTTCTCCTGCTGCTCCAGAACTGTGATCACATCATCTTTGGAGAAGTTGAGATGGTTGTCAGTCTTTGCAGTCCATGAGCACAGAGCTTGAGCTTGCACATTCCCCACCACCTGAAACCATGCAGCAAATGTCATTGCATTTTACCACAAGGAAGTTGTAGCTTACATAAACACTGGTTATTCTCAAGGAATCTTGCATACCTGACCATGGTTGGAAGAGGCGGAGCCTGTGGCATGAGTGGGGGTGAAAGCGGAGTTCAGCCGTGATCCACTCGCTCCGTCACTCAGTTTGCTGGTGAAGAAGGTGTTTCAGAATATTCTACATGTTCTACCATCATGCTCAAGATTTGAAACGAAACAGTGCATCTTTACGAACTCTTTCAAAAAAAGCCCTAATATTAATAATTTTTTTCCATTTGTATTTTTTTTTTAATCAGAGAATAACAAAAACAAAAATGCATTTTGCTTATTTCGCATGAAAGACGTGCAGTTTGTAGCTGTGAATGTTTTCTGTGATGGCTCTGTACCCACATGCACTTTGTTTGTTAGTGCAGATTGGGAAAGCTTGTACAAATGATTGTGCAAGAGGTGTAAATGAAGCATTTGAACAGTATGAGGTAGTCAGATTGGAGATCGCACCTGACAGAGATGGAGACCTGTGGCTTTAGGGCTTGTTTGGCCACGAGTGGAGCCTCAGATTTGGCCTGCTTCTCCACATAGCTCTCAGGGAACCAGCCCATCTTCCCCTGCCGACTGCCGTACAGCCAGCCCTGCTCTCGCTCTATGCTCTCATCCACCTAAACAAACAGAAATCCAGCTGAGTAAACTTGAACCCTGTGCTGTTCCCACAATCACTTTTAACATTGAACGTGTTAAAAAAAAATACAAAACAAAAAATACAAAATAAAAAATGATTATGAAAATATAAATAAATAACAGACATATGCTATCAGAATGTGTGTGTGTATTTTTAATGTTTTTGATAGAAGTCTCTTATGGACACCAAGCTATATCAAAAATACAGTAAAATAGTAATATTGTTTTTCAGCCATTGGACTAAACGGCATCGTGCCTCAGAGTGAAAGGCTTCAGGTCTCAGGAAAAACAACGTCAGGTGTCAGGTCTCAGGTGTAAGTTTAGCATTGCCCCGCCTCAATGTGACATCACATGCACGTGGTTTAGAAGTGGTACAGATTGACACAGGTGGAGCTGAAGACTTTTGAATTTTGTATCCTTCACAAATTTTATTTGTACGTTTAAGAAAGTTTGCTAAAAAAACATTGTTAGCTTGTATGTTGGCAAACTATAGTGAAGTTAAAGAGATCTTTGGGGCTATTAGACTGCATTGATATAAGCACAGTGCTACTTTGTGTACAGATGTTACTGGGGAAATGGCTTGCTGTTCCGCGCCTACTGTTAGAAAAGTGTATTTGCATTTTCATTCAGTCCGTTGCAGTTTTTCTGCAGACTAATGTCAAACATGTTCTGTCCTGTATAGAACATAACCAGTGTAACATATAATTAAAACGATAAGAAAATATATCAGATACTGCTTAACTTCGGTCTCTCTTTCTCTTTCTCTCTCTCTCTCTCTAATGCTCAAATAACAATTACATAAAGAACACTGTCATAGGATTAAATATAAATACATAAAATGAATGTCAATAAATTATATACACAACCCACACACACACATTTTATTGGAGGGCTGGAGATTAAGAAAAAGATAATTTAAGGATGACATTATGATGGGATAAAAGCCAACAAAATCTAAATGTTATTAAAAAAGAAAAAAAAAACAGCCTTAATCTACTTCATAGTAGAAAAGAAGCTGTAATTCCAAACGAAAGCGATACTGTCACTGTTTCTTCATGTTTAAAAGCAGCTGCTTTGAAGTAATCTATTGTATAAATTGCTATATAAATATGCTTAAACATGACGTGAATTACTGGAGTGCCGATTGCAGAGCTGGTGTCACTATGATGATCAATCAACCAATCAATCAATTCATTACATTTATTTAGCGCTTTTCTAGGCACTCAAAGCGCTTTACATTGTCAGGGGGTATCTCCTCATCCACCAAGTGGGCAACCAGGCTTGGGCTACAGGGTGATATGGCTGCCGGCAATATCACCCTGTAGCACATGATCAGATGTTTTCTTAACTGCCTCTTGCCGCTGTCATTTTGTTATAAGTGTTTTTTTTTTGTAATCAAGAGGAAAGCTCATAGCACATAATTACATATTCTTCTAAACTCCACTCTCTGCAGTGTGCATGGCGCTGGGATGTTCGCTTACTGTAGCACTGGTCCCGTATTTCGAACTTCTTTTTACCCCTATACGAAGGAAAAAAAAAAAAAAACTTACAGCCGTGAATATTATCAGGGTTTCGAGTCCATTTTGCCCGATGCCCTTGTGTCTGATGCCTTTTTGTCTAAGGCCGTTTCGCCTGATGCCTAACTGCACGAGACCTGACACCTGACGTATGACACCTGAAGCCTTTCAGTCGGAGTCACGATGCTGTTTAGTCCAATGGCTGAAGTCTTTCAGTCTGAGGCATGATATCTTTTTGTCATATGACTGAGGTCTGAGGATGTCCTAAATGTACACTGTATCCCGGACAACTGGCAGGTTTTGTGAGATTTGCTCTCAAACTGACCTCAATCAGGTCATCGCTTTCGAAGGAAAGCTCCTCATCGTTTCTGGCAGTGAAGGGGTAGAGGGCTTTAAACGTCGTCAGTGCCGCTGATCTCCTGTGCTGTGTGCCAAGAGGATGTCTGCCGCCTGAAATCACGAGGATACTTTCATTCATTCCAATCATTTCAGAAATAACTATGCCATGCGAGTTGATTTTAAAACTTACGGTACACTTTTTCTTACCTTTCCTCTCCTCCAAGCCGCGCAGAAGAGCAGCAACGATGTCTGATTTAACAGTGTTCTTCTTGTTCTGTTCATCGTCTCTCAGTCTTGCGGCTGCAGCCTCTTCCTCTTGCTGTTTCTTCTTCCTCTCCTCATCCTGTTTCCTTTGCTCCTCCTCCCGACGCCTCCTGTCCTCCTCTTCCTGCCTTTTCCGGTCCTCCTCTTTTCTTTTTCTCTCCTCTGCATCTCTCATGGCAGCCTCCTGTGCACGGTGTCGCCTCCTCTCCTCCTCCTCACGCTCCCTTCTTCTTTCCTCTTCCCGTCTCTCCTCCTCTGCTCTTCTCCATTCCTCCTCCAATCTTAACTCCTCCTGCCGCCTCCTTTCCTCCTCCAGTTTTCTCCGTTCTTCCTCCAGTTTTCTCCTCTCCTCCTCCAGTTTCCTCCTTTCCTCATCTCGCCGCCTGCGGTCCTCTTCCTCCTCCTGCCTCCTTTTCTCCTCAAGTCTGCGTCTCTCTTGTTCTCTCCTTTCTTCCTCCTCCTCCTCCCTGCGCCTCCTCTCCTCCTCCTCCCGGGCTTTGCGCTCCCGTTCCGCTTGTTCTCTAGCGGCCTGTAAACGAGCTTGTCTCTCCTTCTCCTCCTCCTCACGAAGTTTGGCTTCTCTTTCCTCCTGTATTTTCCTCTGTTTCTCCTCCTCTTCACGCTGCAGTTTCTCCTGCCACTGCTGCTCCTTCTCCAGTTTGATGCGTCTGTATAGGGAAAGAATTTTTGCTTGTGAAATCCTGAATTCTTCCATGTAAGTGTGAGTGTACAGGAAAGATTCTCTTACTTTTGCTCTTCCTCTTCTCTCCTCTTCTTTTCCAGTTCCTCCTGCTTGCGTTTCTTTAGCTCTATGATTTTTTCTTCCTTAATGGTGCGTAGTTTTTCCAAATCAGACTGTTGCATCCTCTGGCTCTCTCGGAGATCCTAATTAACAAACCACAAGATTATGGCACACTGAACTCAATAATACTCCATTGTAGCAGAGCCCCTAAACAACCTTAAAGGAACACTCCACTATTTTTGAAAATAGGCTCATTTTCCAACTCCACTAGAGTTAAACAGTTGAGTTTGACTATTTTCAAATCCATTCAGCCGATCTCCGGGTCTGGCGGTAGCACTTTGAGCTGTAGCTTAGCATAGATCATTGAATCCGATTAGACCGTTAGCATCTCGCTCAAAAATGACCAAAGAGTTTCTATATTTTTCCTATTTAAAACTTGACTCTTCTGTAGTTACATCGTGTACTAAGACTGACGGAAAATGAAAAGTTGCGATTTTCTAGGCCGATATGGCTAGGAACTATACTCTCATTCCGGCGTAATAATCAAGGAACTTTGCTGCCGTACCATGGGTGCAGCAGGCGCAATGATATTACGCAGTGCCTGAAAATAGGCTTATTGGAAGTTACCTAGCTAGGACAATTTTTCGGCCTAGAAAATCGCAAATTTTCATTTTCCGTCGGTCTTAGTACACGATGCAACTACAGAAGAGTGAAGTTTTAAATAGGAAAAATATAGAAACTCTTTGGTCATTTTTGAGCGAGATGCTAACGGTCTAATCAGATTCAATGATCTATGCTAAGTTACAGCTAAAAGTGCTACCGCCAGACCCGGAGATCGGCTGAATGGATTCAAAAACGGTAAAACTCAACTGTTTAACTCTAGGGCAGTTGGAAAATGAGCCTATTTTCAAAAATAGTGGAGTGTTCCTTTAAATAAATGAAACATAAAACACTAAAATCTAAAATCAATCTTTTTAAATACTATACGTGAATTTAGGCTTCTCAACATAATGTACAGTATGAAAATGGATATTCATTTTGAGATTTGATAAATATTACATTAAATAGTTGTTTTATGTTTTTTAAAGAACTGTAAGTGAGCATTAGATAACAGCAAAGATAATCTAAACATATTAACACCACATAAAAATAGCAAAAGTGCTGAATTAAATAACTCATGAAGTACTGATATATTGTGCATCCCTACTCTCCAAATATATCAAAAATGCTTTAACTCATAAAGTTCATAATGCATGTACTACACAAACGGGCTGTACCCACAATCCACAGTGAGATAATGAGATATTTTCTTACCTGGTTGATGTCCAGTGTTGTTCAAACAGTGATTAACATGAAAAGGAGAAGAAAAGAGCATCATTAACAGATACTTATAAAACTGTTTTCTGCTAAAAATTAAAAAGGTTAAATAAATCTAAAGATAACCATTTTAAAATCTATGTGTAGCAGGTGAATTGGCAGACAGACCTCTAAATCTCATGAACATTGGATTGACAGTTTTGAACAAGACTAAAGCAGAATAAAGAGTCATATAGCATAAGATGGCGAGGAGTGACATACAGAAAGCTGTTCAGCCACAGAATGATTAGAAAATGTACAATACCACATAGACAGTTGACACACATCTACAAGTCATGTGCATTTTGAGGGATGCTGTGACCAAGAGAAATCGTACTGAAATCCAGGGGATGATAGACTAAAGAATAACAGTTAGTCAGCTGCAAGTCGTGATGCATAGCGATCAGTGTGTTATGATTGCATTGAAATGTTAAACATCTTTATTATAAGAATGGACTACATGCAGCAAAGGTCCAAGCTATAGAGGACTGACACAAAGAAGGAAAGAAGGAAAGAAGGAAGGAAAGAAAGATAGATAGATAGATAGATAGATAGATAGATAGATAGATAGATATGGAGTACTTAGTGTCTTACAGTATTTTCTGCTACAGAGATAGCTAAGCAGAGGAGGGCCCACTTCATTGAGCCATGCATTATGTAAATCATCTCCATACAGTCTTCATTATCACCAACCTTCCAGTAGGGGGGGCTGTGCCAGCGGGGGCTCCTGCTGCTTTGTTTGTGAAGGGATGAAAGGTGTAGCCTTGGGTTTTAAGCTCTCTGCAGTGCTGGGGGTAATTGTTGGGGAAGAGTGACTAACAGCTGGTGCACTCTGACAGGCAGGGATGTCTGTGCCGATGGACAGTGGGCCAGTGGTCAGATCAGGAGCAGCCTCTGGGGCAGAGCTGTGAGGGATGGGGGTTTTCACGGGGGTGCTCTGGGATGGGGGGCTTGCATCTGGGGTCTGTGCCTGCAGCACGGAGTCAAGGAACATAACAGTCTGAGTTGGACTAAGGGCAAGGGTTGACTTCTGGTCAGGATCATTTGGGTCCTTGGGTAACTGATCTGAAGGGTGAATACCAGGCAACTCTAGGTTAGACTTATTGATATCGTCTTTACTTGATTTATCCTTATTAAACATATCCCTGTCAATCTCGTAAGTTGAGTCATCTATGGGATTCGCAGTGGAGTCTGGGCAATTCATGAATAAGGAAGTGTTTGCTTGCCCTGTCGGTTGGGGTCTGCATGCTTGGGTGCCCGTGAGGTGCAGAGGTTCAGGTGTGAGTGAGGGTGGTGCACTTCCTTCATCTATGTTAGCACTGGATGGGGTTTTTAAATCACCCAAATTAGGGCTGCTAAAGTCCATGTCCATTACAGTTGGAGGAGCACTCCATTCTTCTGGTAGCTTCATCCTGCTTTTACTCTTCTTGGCCTTGATGCGTCCTCCCCCTCTTTCTTGGATCTCGCTTTCCCACATCTCTTCGTCCCTATTAGGAGGTGAGGGGCAGCCGTGGTTGGAGCTTTCGGAAGGAGTCTCTTCTGAGTCAGGGGAACCAAGACTGTCCAGAAGGTCATACATTTCTTCCCTGTTCTTGCGTTTCTTCTTTTTTCGCTTCTGCTGCTTTTCGGTTCCTTTCTCTATGGACTTTTCCTCACCAGATGCTGCATCTTGACTCTGGAATCCCAAGGTGTCAGTGTGACTCTGTTCTGCCTTGTTGGAAGCTCGGGACTGCTCCGTAGAGAGCATTTCCTCACCTGTCCAAGGGCTTCCCAAAACTTCTTTGTGTACAGAGAGGAAGAGGAAGTGTCACTGACTACCATACAAATCATCGGACAACAAAATTTGCGCATCTCCAGCTCATAACAGCTATTAAGAGTCCAAAGAGGCATTAGATCAGCTACCTATGAACCACTGATCACTTGCATCATGTGGTGCGTTACACCAGAAGATGATATGAAGACAGACACTATCCACTAATTCACAATGAATAGCATCATCCAGTCTTATCTAATCTCAGAAGAGAATTAGTATTAGCCATGGGTTCCCTTGGAAATTTCCAATGGGTTTTCAGAGGTTTTTTTTCTTTTTTGAATGATTAAATGATCTCTCATCTCAGATTAATGTTACTTGAGGAGGCTTTCACAACAAACTAAATATACATGCTACCCATTGTGAGGAAATTGCTGATTCTCCAGCTTGCATTGTGTGAAATATTTCAATGGTAGACTTTTTTTTTTTTTGCCTTTTTATTGTGATAGGACAGTTGGTTGACAGGAAGCGAAGTGGGAAAGAGAGAGGGGGGCGTG